AAAATAGTGTTAGCATAAAAAGAAATGATTTATTCTGATTGAAACTTATCTGATAACGACAAAGCATTTAATCTTTCGAAGTAATACATAAGTATACCTTACGATACATCAGATAACAGAGAGTATGAAGCTGATAGTGTAGAAAATAATTTTGATATAATTCTAGTATATTTTTTATTAGACTATTTATTTGGTAACTTTGTGCATAACAAGTACAAAAACTGTTTAAATCATCTCTGTAAAATTTAAGTTGAGACAGGAAATAATATATGATGTATTTGTATATATTATCTTCACACTAGATTTAAATTTTAAACTGAAAACTTCTCTTGTCAGAGAAAAAGAAATTATTTAAGTAAAATCTTTAATCATGCTTTAGATATGTGAATGCTTTAAGTTTGTATCTACAATTCTACATTGTATTAAACTACAGCAGAACCGCGATTATCTAGACTAATTGGGGATGAAGGTAGTCCGGATAAGGAAAAATCCGGATAATCGGAACAAATACTTTGTCTTTTAATGATAATACAACACGTTTTCTTTTCGATGAGATATCGGTAATATTAAAAATAAATACTGTATTTAAATCGTGATCAAATTTTCAAAAAACAAATGTTTGTATTGAATTTGGACTACTACTGACCAGCGCTAACAGACTACCTATTGTTTAAAAGGCCCTCTGGTGGCTCAATAAGACGGATTTTATAAAATAAAAAGCAGTTGAAACTGCTTTTTATGAATAAAAATTTGACAAACTTTATCGTTTAATGACGAGAAAAATTTTTTCGTCGCGTTCTCGGCTTTTAAGTAATGCATAAACCTTCTAGGCCCGAGGCCCTTTGGACCGCGAGGCATAGGCGGTGGCCCACGTTGCCCATGCCTTACGCCACCCTTGGTCATAGAAATGATGTAATTTGAATATAAATTATTTATAAATACGTATGTCAAGTTATATTTTTATTACGACGCAAAATATATTTAAGAGTTTACGGCCNATTTTTGCTTGGAACAGAACCTTTTGGTGCATAGCTATTAAAAATGTCGAACCACATATTTATATCTCTAATATACGTTTCATTGATGATAATAATAATTGATTCATAATAAACGTTTCATTGATATTCGCATTCAATTCTTTCCATAAACTTATGTTACTGCAACTACAGTCACTGATGCAAAATACTACATTATACGATAGTAAATAAAGTTCTGATATTAATTCTAAAAGTATTTCTCTTGTCATTTTTTGATCAAACCCGATGTAAACAGGTTGGGTCCAATTTGAAAAAAAAGGTTATTATTGCAACCATACACAGCAACCTAGTACTCAGCATTTTGTTCTTCACCTAATATAAAAATATAGCTTTAAATATTTAATGACTTATATTTAAATCATCTTACCTTATAAAAAATTTAGTCAAATAAAACAATTACAGAAATATTAAAATAAATCACTTCGTTAATCACAAAATTGGACGAATATTAAAAGCGAAAACTAATCACGCGCACACCCTGCTCTATGTAAACAGAGAGGTCAGGACTCGTGCTGACGTCACTAACTTGCCATTCCATTCCTGGCTAACATTGTAGAATAGGGATCTGGCTATCCTTGTAGTATACAGTCCTTGGGTTTAACCAAGCCCATCATGGGTTTGGTCGGGTTCACAATGGGGTGGCCGGACGGTGAGGGAATGGTCCTTCCCTCACCACCTGGCTTTTTCAATTCATTCCAATTCATTCCTGGAGTCTCCCAAAATGGTAGGCTGACACCTGAAGCTGAGTGGTTAAATAACAAATCATCATCATAACATGCTATTGTTTATACAAATTTTTAGTTACAATTCAAAGATTACAAAGCAAGAAATTGTTAGCTTTAAGTTGAAGTGTTTAAAAGTTTTTTCCCCTCCCTCCTATATTCTTTTCCTCCCTTGTCAAGTTAACAGTAATCATAATTTGTTGAATTTATATTTTTGTTAATGTAACAATTGTAACTTTTATGGTGTAGAAAGTTCAGTACCAGACACATGTCAAGTGTCTAGTGCAGTGGTTCTCAACCTTTCTGAGGCTGTGAAACACTATTCATATGCTTTTTATTAATTGGAACGTTAGCATCAATGTATTTAGAAATTGATAAGCAATTCCATGTTTACTATTCTCAGGAAACAATGAAGCAATAAAGTAATAAACTTTAATATATTAAATAAAAATAAACATAAAATTGTCTATAAATATGATAATAAATTTGTTGTTACTATTGATATTAAAAGATATTTATTTATTTGTTTTTAGATTATTATTTTTTTATTAGACTATTTATTTGGTAACTTTGTGCATAACAAGTACAAAAACTGTTTAAATCATCTCTGTAAAATTTAAGTTGAGACAGGAAATAATATATGATGTATTTGTATATATTATCTTCACACTAGATTTAAATTTTAAACTGAAAACTTCTCTTGTCAGAGAAAAAGAAATTATTTAAGTAAAATCTTTAATCATGCTTTAGATATGTGAATGCTTTAAGTTTGTATCTACAATTCTACATTGTATTAAACTACAGCAGAACCGCGATTATCTAGACTAATTGGGGATGAAGGTAGTCCGGATAAGGAAAAATCCGGATAATCGGAACAAATACTTTGTCTTTTAATGATAATACAACACGTTTTCTTTTCGATGAGATATCGGTAATATTAAAAATAAATACTGTATTTAAATCGTGATCAAATTTTCAAAAAACAAATGTTTGTATTGAATTTGGACTACTACTGACCAGCGCTAACAGACTACCTATTGTTTAAAAGGCCCTCTGGTGGCTCAATAAGACGGATTTTATAAAATAAAAAGCAGTTGAAACTGCTTTTTATGAATAAAAATTTGACAAACTTTATCGTTTAATGACGAGAAAAATTTTTTCGTCGCGTTCTCGGCTTTTAAGTAATGCATAAACCTTCTAGGCCCGAGGCCCTTTGGACCGCGAGGCATAGGCGGTGGCCCACGTTGCCCATGCCTTACGCCACCCTTGGTCATAGAAATGATGTAATTTGAATATAAATTATTTATAAATACGTATGTCAAGTTATATTTTTATTACGACGCAAAATATATTTAAGAGTTTACGACCACTGTGCCGGGTGAGACGTTGTTGAAACAAAAAATGTTATGCATTCCATCACGTACATAAACAGTGTCGTAATTCGCCAAGTGCAAATCAGCAAATTCGTAAAATTTTTGTTTTTTTGAACAATCCGGATAATCGAAAATCCGGATAATAGAGGTCCGGATAATCGAGGTTCTACTGTATTTTACACTCATGTTTGTGAAAATTGCAACACCATGAAGGAATTGTCAGAAATTAATGAAATTTATTCCACATATTACTGATAGTGATACAAATAAACGATCAAATTTACAAGACAAAAAAACAAAAAGAATGTCAGAAATCAGTACTCTGTGTGTCTGCCACGCTGAGCAATGAGAGCCTGTACACATCGTGGCATTGAATCATACAGGTTCTGAATGTAATCCTGGGGAATGGCATTCCAGATGGCTTCAACTTGATGCCAAAGTTCAGTCTTATTGTGTGCCCCACCAGCTGTGAGTCGCAGACCAATGAAATCCCAGATATGCTTGATGGGAGACATATCCCGGGAATATGCAAGTCATGGAAGAAGCGAAACCTGTTGTGCACTGAAGAAGGCTTGTGCAGTCTGAGAAACATGTGTACGGGCATTATCCTGCTGAAATACAGCACATGGAATGCATTGAAGAAGGGGAAGGACCTCTGGCTCCACAATTTCCCATATGTAGTGATCACTGTTGAAGTTGCCAGCAATGTGCATGAAGTGGGATCGACAATTATACCCAATAGCTCCCTACACCATGATGCCAGGCGTTTGTGCGGTATGATGCTGGATAACACACTGTGGGAGTAGACGTTCCCCTCTGTAACGTCTGACGCATATTCTTCCGTCATAGTACTGCAGATTGTAGTGATATTCATCAGAAAAAACAACTTGTTGTCACTGGGCATGCCATGCGCCGTGTTGCTGAGCCCATTGAAGTCGAAGGCACCTGTGAATCAGCAAGAGGGGAATCCTGCATAGAGCAACCCTTGCACACAGTTCATGCAGCAGATTGTGATGAACCATCTGCTGCAGCATGGAGCTAGACAACAAAACACCTGCAGCCGTGCTCCAACATTCTGCTAATACACAAGAGGACGCTGTACGGTCCATCACAGCCATGCAGATGAGGTATCTGTCATCCCATGAAATTGTGCTATTGCTTGCCCCACTGCCAGGTTTTTGCTTTATTTGGTTCTCCTCTGTCCATTTTTTCCAAACACACATCACTGTTGTGGCATTACACAGAGGAAGATAAACAGATTTCAACATATCTTTACAGTCCTTTATATAACTGGAATAAGTGGCTGATACGGAGACGGTTCTCATTCCATGCATGTGCAATCGCTTTGTAATTCTACTCATTTGCATGTCTTACCTCACTTTCCATTTCCTGTAAGTTTGGTTCAATTCGTACAATTCCTTCATGGTGTTGCAATTTTCACAAACATGAGTGTATATTTCATTGCCATTTTATTCTTACATTTTTACAGGATATAAAAAACTCATAAAAGATTATTTTATAAAAATTATATAAACATCTTTATTTAATAATGAAAACACACAGTACCAACATTTTTAAAATAATATTGTGAAATATGCAAAACTGATAAAATGACTGGATATAAACAATACTTTTTAATATTTAAAATAAAATACTTTAATTTAAATGTGAAAAATCAGCTTTATCACAGTACTTTTAAAAAGCAAAGTGATATAATTAAACTCTTATCTTTTATACTTTGATTTTCAAATTATATATTAATATTCCATATAAATTATTGTTATAGTAACATTAACAATTATTATTTATCAATATTAATAATAATAATATAATTTATAAAAAAATCAACAATTAATAAAGATTCTCAATTTAATTTCAATGATAAAATTACAACAAGTTTGTTCCTTTCTCCAACAAGAAATCAATTTCAATTGTAATGTAATGCAATTATTTTTCTGTGATCATTAAATATATTATAAAAATGTATTTTAAAAAAATATATTCTAATAAAGAGTTTAAATTTTTATTGTTTTTGTGTAGACAAATTTATATAGTGCTTAGGCCTACTTGGTGAAATGCTTTAAGAATCATAGAAAACTTTTGCTAATCCATAGCGGATTCCAAATGCAAATAGACTGCAAACAACCTGAAAATTTTAAAATAATTATAATGAAAATACTATTAAAAATTAATCAAATTATTTCTTTTCTAATTATATAAAGAACAACTATTTTTTCTTGCACCTTTAGAATATTTGAAATAATTTTAAACTCTAACAGAAAAACAAACAGTATCTGTTGTTGAAGAACTTCATTTAATATCATATAAATATTTCAAATAATTTTTATTAGAAGAAAAACATATATTCAATAAATCAATGGTAAAATTTCCAATTATTGAATTCTCATAAATTTTACTAAATATTCTATGTATTCAACAATCTAAAAATTCCTGTAAAGATATTACTATTGGTAATTAAATTAAATTATGATTTTATTTGTAAAAATTTTAAAACTTACCTGTAAAATTAGCAAAGCTGAAGTTAATGATCTTTCATGAATAGGGCCTGCAACCTTTATAAAGTAATTGATCAAAGTAAAATTACTACATTCCACCATATTATCATCTTTGATCCCTGATTTGTAATGTATCAATCCCAAATGATAAAATATAAATAATATTAAAGTTGATATGGGATGTAGATCACTAGCTTTGAACTGAACTGTACTCATTTCTAGTTTGTCTGTTTTCTCATTATATCTAGTTAAAAGGATAAAATTAAAACGAATATTTAAACAGAATATATAGGTTCAATGAACTTACCTAGGTAATCTATGCCGAGGACAGGGTACTAAATGAAATATTTGTGGAACAGAAAAGATGAAATTAATGACTTGAGGTATGAAAAACAAAATCATTGTTTTACCAAAATGTCCTAATATTCCTACAACTGCTAGTGTCATTCCCGCAAAATAACAATAAGTATCACCTACAAAAACTTGAGCAGGATACCTAAAAATATATATTAACATACCTTAATTGTTTAGGAAATCATTTTCATAAAATCCCATGGCAAACATTTAAAAGCCATATTTTATAGAACTATTAAAAATAATTTTTATAACTAAGCAGTAGAACTTCAAAAATCATTAAACAAATCTGAAAAATGTAATTTCATTAAACAATTTTTAAATTTTTCTATCTTTTATTAATATACATACTTTTGTTTTAATATGCCAGGTGATCATAATTAAAGTTGTCCTATTCAGAGGACACTATACATCCAACCAACAAGCTGATTAACACCAAAACTATGATATGTATATAGAAACATAACCAAGCAATCATCTTAAATAATTGGACTATAACTCTGCTAATTTAATGATTAATACTAAGTAATTTGCTACTAGAGATAGACGTTAGGTGTCATCTCTTAACTAAAAGCTTTGAAATGTTTGATATACTTATAATAAATTAATATAAATTATAAAACTATAATTACCAATTGAAATATAGGAGCCCTAATGTGGTTCCCAAAAATGGCATCATGAAATAAAGTGAGAATAAATGTGCCTTCCAACTATCACCTAAAAATATATGAATTTTAATATAAAATTTTTAAATAGAAATATAAAAAAATTACAAATATAAATTAGAATAAAATCAAATACAATTTCATTTTTTTATCATTAATTCCATAATTGTAACATGTTTTATAAAATATAGAAATTAATTTACTTTTAAAACTTCAAGCTTAATACACACACACACACACACACACAAATATACAATAATTCAATGAACTCATTTGTTATCTTATATCTTCTGATTCTAAAGTAAGTAAAGAAAGAAAACTTTCTTTTACTGCATGCACCTGATATCTTGCTTGAATCACAACTGATTTAAAAATGAAGCTTTGAGACTTAAATTTGTGGCAATTCTCAGAAAAAGTTTACTATAAAGACAATTGGATCAAGAGAAAAAAAACCAGTCCTAGTTAAAGATAATTCACCAGTCTGATATGTACTGTACTGTTTCCAAACATATATGCACACATAGTAATTTAAAAAAAAGATACAACATTAATTTGCAAATTTAAAACCATGTTATTGTTACAGTATTTAAAAGCAAAATACAGTTTAATTTAAAAATTAAACAGTTTGTACTGTAAGTCAATTACAATAATTAAGAAACACCCCAAATTCTTTCTATCTCTTCATTTCATTGAAATGAGAAGGACCATTATGATGTAAAGTATTACAAGTGTGTATACCATATATACATTAAAAAGTAGAAAATAACAAAAATGCATTAACAGCAGTCCGTGAAAGCTGTGGAAGTTCTGTTTCCCATGTATTTTCTAAAATATAAATACATATTGTGTGATTATTTTCATATTTTAATGTACTTTAAATTACTTAAAATTAATATTTTATTATAACCTCATTATGTATCTTATTAGAAATTTCTATACATGTGAAAAACAATGATAAGATTGCTATTGTATATTCGAATATAAATTTGTATATGCATATTCCCAATGGAAGCACTATCAAATATGGAACAGCGTCCATGGCAAAAATATTTGAATCATATAAAGCAGCCAGATTACAGGGATTCACCATGTGCTTTACAGAGCACCAACCTCTTGCGGCTTAGCTCATGGATGCTACACACCAAAATACCATATAATGTTTCCAATGGTTCTATCCAATAGCCACTCATAGGGAGCTATTTGACTAAGTGAATTGTTTTAAGATTTAAAAGTAAAGAATATTCAATGTTATTTTTATGCATGTTTCTTTACAAAGCTATATATAATTATAATTATATTGACAAATTTTCAGACATAAAATCTTCAGAATTTTTATCACTTTTAGATGTTAATAATTTTAAATATCATGAAAAACAATTTTCCAAAACAAGTTTTCATTCTTTAAATTAAGTAAATTTTGCTGTAAATGATTGGGCTAAATTTTGGATATATGATTATAGATTAAAAATGAATTTGGCACTAGAGTGAGGCGTTAGGTGCCATCTCTTATTAAAATTAATAATTACAATATTTAATTAATTAATTCAGATTAAACTGGAAGAAAAGAATCGGCCTGAAGTGAGACTCAAACCGCAACTCCTGCTTACTGTGTGAACGCGTTGCCAGTTACACTACCTGGACCTTCGGTCCAATCTTCTCTTCCAGCATATACAAGTTAAGATATAACCATTAAGATATCGGGTTTCAATTGTTTTGTATATTTATATAAGTAAATTTTACGGAGAAGTTTTTTATTTATCTAAATTACGTAGTGAACTGCAATATTTAAATTCATGTCCAGCCTATATTGGCAAGTCACTTTTAGACATAAAAAATAATATAATTAATGACGATCTGAACAAAAATGTACTAAAAGAATTATATGATTTAATATCATTAATTTTTACGATACCATCTATGAGTCTGTCTGTTGAGAGCAGTTTTTCAACCAAGCAGTGAATTGATACATTGGCAAGGAACACTCGATCAGAGGAAAGACTGTCGTCACTAGCATTGCTTTCAATAGAAAAAGAGCTTTTAAATACTTTGATGGAATCAACAACAAGCAATTTTTATGATAAAGTAATTAACAACTTTGTGGAAAAAAATTGTCGAATAGAGTTAGTTTATAAAAAATAATAAAAACAAGTTCTTATATCTTTGTTTCATGTCAATTATCTATTTTAGAATTAAAACAAGTAAAACAGCAAAACCATATTTAGGACAAGACTATGTCTTGAAGACTCACTACTAAGCAAAATCACTTTGACACTCAAGGTGGGTCTTGTTCTCATTCTCCAATCTTTTTTGATATCGTTGCTTTTGGGCGCAATCGTTCAAACTTTGCCGGCCATGACAACGAGGTCATCCACAATGCATTTTCAATGAAATTAACCTATCCAATTTCGAAATTTCTCTCTGTTGCATGTTGCCTGAGTTGAATTTTTGTCAATGCATAACGAAAATTTCCCATTTTTGAAAAAATAATCGTGGGTATTGTATTGTCTGAAATGATTTTTTTTATTTTGCACAAACAATATACAGTTTAACCCAATTATAACGTCATTGGATGTAACGATGACCCTAATATAATGCCAAATTTTTATCGGTCCCACCATTTTACCATACTAGATAATGTTAAAAAACCTACTTGTAACGACATAAAACCCTGTTTTAATGTCATATTTGAAGCATTCCCAAATTTACAAAATCAGATTACAAATTTTATTTAACATATCAATAGAAGAAACTACGTGTTCAGTCCTAAGGTCAGAGTTCACTTCTTATAATGACTGTGGGTGATACTCTCCCCCATCTGACTTCGGTGGGGTGAGGTGCCAGTTTTCTGTTTGTAGAAGAGGGTTGCCATTTTGGATTTTATTTTGACTCAGTTCTCAGTCCCCTAACTATCTACAAGTCTGGATTTTTTTTATGCGCAAATGATTTGGGCACCTAATACTCTGTGCCAAATATCAACTCTCGACATGTACTCCTTCATACCTCTAAGCTGGTAACATAAACCGGCAGTACAATTTTATAAACAAGACATAGTCTTGTCAATAAATAAACTGTTTATTTTTGTCATTTACAATATTTGTTTAAAATTTTTATGGAAACACGGCTTCCCTATCATGAAATGTCACCGCACGCCATTGATTAACAGTAAACTTTGTCTCAGCTATCCTGTTGTCGTGTCTTCGGCTGGCTATGTTGGCATAAGAAATTTTATTTAAAAGGCAGTTTTGAATTTACAGTACATAGTACAGTTTTTCATTTTTAGACCATGTTTTCATCATACACAGTTATTTAAAATGAAGTGTTTTGCATTATTGTACCATAAGAGAATGGTTATTGGTTGAATAAAAAAGTGGTCTTTTTAAAGAGATGATCAAATTGCTTTGGTCATATGGACAAAAAAATTTCATTCTAGAGAAAACTAGTCATATTGGAAACAGTCTCCTAAAATGGATGGTTGTCTTTGATTGTTTCACTGTATATCTCTGACATTAATCCAAAATAAGTAAATATAAACTTCATTATTAAATCTGATCATTAAACTTTTTCAATTAAAAAAGTTTTTAAAACATCAATGATATAAAAATTTAAATATCAAACAAATAAAATATATTGAAAAATGTAATTACTTACCAAATAATTCAATAATATTAAAAATAATTATTGATGCAGCAATTATTGCTGACTGACCAACTTCTAAACCATTAATTCCTGCAAAAATATTGATTGCATTTGTGCAAAATACAGCAAGCATTCCCATGTATACATAATATAATGGACCTAAATTGAAATAAGAATTTATTATAATTTTGTTTTAAAAATTAATAAAAATATGTTGCTCTTTTTATAAAATAGTAATAGTAATTTAACATACAACAAACTCCCCACCAACTTGGACTTTGCATAACTTGGATAAAATTTTTCAAAAAATTTTATAGTAATTTCAAATTACTTGACAATAGAAAAATTGTAATTAATGAGAAATTACAATTATAACAAAATCATAATTAACAAGTGTTTTTGATATTCAGAAGTCTTTGTGATACTATGCATTACAAGGGCAGGCTGAAAAGTAATGCACACATGCTTGTAGAGCACAAACGAAATGATTTTCAGAAGCGTGCAGGTGGCATATGGAAGTAACATTCCCTCTCTATGTGCATGCACAGTTTGAGGTTGTTTCATTCATTCAATATATTTTGAGAAGCGGAAATATGGAGACATGTTCCGGTGCTATGTCAACGTGAGTTAAACAGCATGCTGTTATCAAATTTTTAACTGCTGAAAAAATTACATTTAAAGGCTGTTTATGGTGATGATGCTGTTGATAGGTCTATTGTAAATTGATGGATAATAAAATTTCATGGTTGCGAGCCTGGAAAAGTCATAATTGTTGATGAAACATGCAGCGGAAGTCTGATCACTGCCACAGACAATTACCATTGCACCTTGTTGCAATGTTTAATTCTTCTCAGTACATACAGACTCTAAAACACCTCTGACGTTGAGTTTGTCATGTTAGAGGCAGCCTGGCACCAATAATCTTGCAACATGACAACGCTTGTCCACACACCTCGCGCGCAACTGGAGAGGCTCTGCGAAACCTGAAGTTTGAACCGATTCCACACCCTCCTTATTCCCCCGATCTTGCGCCTTGTGATTTTTATTTGTTTCCTCTACTTAAGAGAGACCTCAAGGGTAATCATTACACCTCAGACGATGAGGTGAAGGCAGCTGTCAAGTCCTGGATTCGAGAAAAGTCGGAAGAATTTTTCAGTGACGGAATGAAAAAACTTGTTACACGTTGGGAGAAATGTGTTAGTCATCATTAAGGCTATGTTGAAAAATAAATATATGATTTTGAAGCTTAAGAATTGTACTTTAATGTACTTTTTGCCCGATCTTGCTATTTGTTCTTGTTCATGTTCTACAAGCATGTGTGCATTACTTTTCAGCCTGCCCTCATATATTACTGTAGTTGGTAAGTTACTGTACATTGCTGTATACTCTATTGCTGAGAAAGTTTTTGAGCTCATTTCCTGTAATAAATTTAGTAGTATAACCTACTACAATTCAGTAAAATTACTGTACAAAGATGATTGTAATAAATTACTCTACTGTATATATACCTTCCAAGTTATCAAACATCCTGCTAATTCAGACAACCTTAACCATCTATTAGTCTGAGTTAGTGAGGGTTTTCTATACAAATATAAAATTCTTAAACCAGAAGTAAATTCAAAACTAAATTTTATATTTTTGCTATAAAGATTACAATAATTAAATGAAATACAATGCAATGATATCAGCTAGTTAATTTACTTAAGATTTAAAACAATTTACAATGAAATGATTAATCTTCATGTGTAGAACACAAAACTTTGAAACTCAAACATTAGAATATTGTTTTAAAAAAAATGATAAAAAGAAAATTCAATCTAACAATCAAAGCAACAAGTAATTCTTCATAAAAGGTTATATACAGAATTTATTATACTGTTTCTAATATGAATTTTGGAAAATATTCTGATTTGAACTAAAAGACAACCTGCACTATAAATGATGATTTAAAAGTTCCCAAGTTAGTCAATTATAAAAATTAATAAATTTGAGAACATTTGTTCAATTTATTTTTTTCACTATTGATGAGAAAAACTTTTCTATACATTTAATAGCTTCAGAAAAAAATTAAGTTATGAGTAGCCACTTGCAGATTATAGTACAAGTGATCAATTAGTCAATCACAAGGATTTACATAAAAAACAAATAAATTTTAGAACATTTTTTAAAACATATTTACTTCTATAGCCAACATTAAAAGAATATTACAAATTGCTGTTTTAGGCTTCATGTATGAAATTCTAAAGCAACACAATACACATTTTCTTTTTCCAGTATTATTTTAGAACAAAGTCAGAAGGAAGATAAACTCATGATATATGACTATCTACAAGTCTGGATTTTTTTTATGCGCAAATGATTTGGGCACCTAATACTCTGTGCCAAATATCAACTCTCGACATGTACTCCTTCATACCTCTAAGCTGGNGGTAAAATTTCCAATTATTGAATTCTCATAAATTTTACTAAATATTCTATGTATTCAACAATCTAAAAATTCCTGTAAAGATATTACTATTGGTAATTAAATTAAATTATGATTTTATTTGTAAAAATTTTAAAACTTACCTGTAAAATTAGCAAAGCTGAAGTTAATGATCTTTCATGAATAGGGCCTGCAACCTTTATAAAGTAATTGATCAAAGTAAAATTACTACATTCCACCATATTATCATCTTTGATCCCTGATTTGTAATGTATCAATCCCAAATGATAAAATATAAATAATATTAAAGTTGATATGGGATGTAGATCACTAGCTTTGAACTGAACTGTACTCATTTCTAGTTTGTCTGTTTTCTCATTATATCTAGTTAAAAGGATAAAATTAAAACGAATATTTAAACAGAATATATAGGTTCAATGAACTTACCTAGGTAATCTATGCCGAGGACAGGGTACTAAATGAAATATTTGTGGAACAGAAAAGATGAAATTAATGACTTGAGGTATGAAAAACAAAATCATTGTTTTACCAAAATGTCCTAATATTCCTACAACTGCTAGTGTCATTCCCGCAAAATAACAATAAGTATCACCTACAAAAACTTGAGCAGGATACCTAAAAATATATATTAACATACCTTAATTGTTTAGGAAATCATTTTCATAAAATCCCATGGCAAACATTTAAAAGCCATATTTTATAGAACTATTAAAAATAATTTTTATAACTAAGCAGTAGAACTTCAAAAATCATTAAACAAATCTGAAAAATGTAATTTCATTAAACAATTTTTAAATTTTTCTATCTTTTATTAATATACATACTTTTGTTTTAATATGCCAGGTGATCATAATTAAAGTTGTCCTATTCAGAGGACACTATACATCCAACCAACAAGCTGATTAACACCAAAACTATGATATGTATATAGAAACATAACCAAGCAATCATCTTAAATAATTGGACTATAACTCTGCTAATTTAATGATTAATACTAAGTAATTTGCTACTAGAGATAGACGTTAGGTGTCATCTCTTAACTAAAAGCTTTGAAATGTTTGATATACTTATAATAAATTAATATAAATTATAAAACTATAATTACCAATTGAAATATAGGAGCCCTAATGTGGTTCCCAAAAATGGCATCATGAAATAAAGTGAGAATAAATGTGCCTTCCAACTATCACCTAAAAATATATGAATTTTAATATAAAATTTTTAAATAGAAATATAAAAAAATTACAAATATAAATTAGAATAAAATCAAATACAATTTCATTTTTTTATCATTAATTCCATAATTGTAACATGTTTTATAAAATATAGAAATTAATTTACTTTTAAAACTTCAAGCTTAATACACACACACACACACACACAAATATACAATAATTCAATGAACTCATTTGTTATCTTATATCTTCTGATTCTAAAGTAAGTAAAGAAAGAAAACTTTCTTTTACTGCATGCACCTGATATCTTGCTTGAATCACAACTGATTTAAAAATGAAGCTTTGAGACTTAAATTTGTGGCAATTCTCAGAAAAAGTTTACTATAAAGACAATTGGATCAAGAGAAAAAAAACCAGTCCTAGTTAAAGATAATTCACCAGTCTGATATGTACTGTACTGTTTCCAAACATATATGCACACATAGTAATTTAAAAAAAAGATACAACATTAATTTGCAAATTTAAAACCATGTTATTGTTACAGTATTTAAAAGCAAAATACAGTTTAATTTAAAAATTAAACAGTTTGTACTGTAAGTCAATTACAATAATTAAGAAACACCCCAAATTCTTTCTATCTCTTCATTTCATTGAAATGAGAAGGACCATTATGATGTAAAGTATTACAAGTGTGTATACCATATATACATTAAAAAGTAGAAAATAACAAAAATGCATTAACAGCAGTCCGTGAAAGCTGTGGAAGTTCTGTTTCCCATGTATTTTCTAAAATATAAATACATATTGTGTGATTATTTTCATATTTTAATGTACTTTAAATTACTTAAAATTAATATTTTATTATAACCTCATTATGTATCTTATTAGAAATTTCTATACATGTGAAAAACAATGATAAGATTGCTATTGTATATTCGAATATAAATTTGTATATGCATATTCCCAATGGAAGCACTATCAAATATGGAACAGCGTCCATGGCAAAAATATTTGAATCATATAAAGCAGCCAGATTACAGGGATTCACCATGTGCTTTACAGAGCACCAACCTCTTGCGGCTTAGCTCATGGATGCTACACACCAAAATACCATATAATGTTTCCAATGGTTCTATCCAATAGCCACTCATAGGGAGCTATTTGACTAAGTGAATTGTTTTAAGATTTAAAAGTAAAGAATATTCAATGTTATTTTTATGCATGTTTCTTTACAAAGCTATATATAATTATAATTATATTGACAAATTTTCAGACATAAAATCTTCAGAATTTTTATCACTTTTAGATGTTAATAATTTTAAATATCATGAAAAACAATTTTCCAAAACAAGTTTTCATTCTTTAAATTAAGTAAATTTTGCTGTAAATGATTGGGCTAAATTTTGGATATATGATTATAGATTAAAAATGAATTTGGCACTAGAGTGAGGCGTTAGGTGCCATCTCTTATTAAAATTAATAATTACAATATTTAATTAATTAATTCAGATTAAACTGGAAGAAAAGAATCGGCCTGAAGTGAGACTCAAACCGCAACTCCTGCTTACTGTGTGAACGCGTTGCCAGTTACACTACCTGGACCTTCGGTCCAATCTTCTCTTCCAGCATATACAAGTTAAGATATAACCATTAAGATATCGGGTTTCAATTGTTTTGTATATTTATATAAGTAAATTTTACGGAGAAGTTTTTTATTTATCTAAATTACGTAGTGAACTGCAATATTTAAATTCATGTCCAGCCTATATTGGCAAGTCACTTTTAGACATAAAAAATAATATAATTAATGACGATCTGAACAAAAATGTACTAAAAGAATTATATGATTTAATATCATTAATTTTTACGATACCATCTATGAGTCTGTCTGTTGAGAGCAGTTTTTCAACCAAGCAGTGAATTGATACATTGGCAAGGAACACTCGATCAGAGGAAAGACTGTCGTCACTAGCATTGCTTTCAATAGAAAAAGAGCTTTTAAATACTTTGATGGAATCAACAACAAGCAATTTTTATGATAAAGTAATTAACAACTTTGTGGAAAAAAATTGTCGAATAGAGTTAGTTTATAAAAAATAATAAAAACAAGTTCTTATATCTTTGTTTCATGTCAATTATCTATTTTAGAATTAAAACAAGTAAAACAGCAAAACCATATTTAGGACAAGACTATGTCTTGAAGACTCACTACTAAGCAAAATCACTTTGACACTCAAGGTGGGTCTTGTTCTCATTCTCCAATCTTTTTTGATATCGTTGCTTTTGGGCGCAATCGTTCAAACTTTGCCGGCCATGACAACGAGGTCATCCACAATGCATTTTCAATGAAATTAACCTATCCAATTTCGAAATTTCTCTCTGTTGCATGTTGCCTGAGTTGAATTTTTGTCAATGCATAACGAAAATTTCCCATTTTTGAAAAAATAATCGTGGGTATTGTATTGTCTGAAATGATTTTTTTTATTTTGCACAAACAATATACAGTTTAACCCAATTATAACGTCATTGGATGTAACGATGACCCTAATATAATGCCAAATTTTTATCGGTCCCACCATTTTACCATACTAGATAATGTTAAAAAACCTACTTGTAACGACATAAAACCCTGTTTTAATGTCATATTTGAAGCATTCCCAAATTTACAAAATCAGATTACAAATTTTATTTAACATATCAATAGAAGAAACTACGTGTTCAGTCCTAAGGTCAGAGTTCACTTCTTATAATGACTGTGGGTGATACTCTCCCCCATCTGACTTCGGTGGGGTGAGGTGCCAGTTTTCTGTTTGTAGAAGAGGGTTGCCATTTTGGATTTTATTTTGACTCAGTTCTCAGTCCCCTAACTATCTACAAGTCTGGATTTTTTTTATGCGCAAATGATTTGGGCACCTAATACTCTGTGCCAAATATCAACTCTCGACATGTACTCCTTCATACCTCTAAGCTGGTAACATAAACCGGCAGTACAATTTTATAAACAAGACATAGTCTTGTCAATAAATAAACTGTTTATTTTTGTCATTTACAATATTTGTTTAAAATTTTTATGGAAACACGGCTTCCCTATCATGAAATGTCACCGCACGCCATTGATTAACAGTAAACTTTGTCTCAGCTATCCTGTTGTCGTGTCTTCGGCTGGCTATGTTGGCATAAGAAATTTTATTTAAAAGGCAGTTTTGAATTTACAGTACATAGTACAGTTTTTCATTTTTAGACCATGTTTTCATCATACACAGTTATTTAAAATGAAGTGTTTTGCATTATTGTACCATAAGAGAATGGTTATTGGTTGAATAAAAAAGTGGTCTTTTTAAAGAGATGATCAAATTGCTTTGGTCATATGGACAAAAAAATTTCATTCTAGAGAAAACTAGTCATATTGGAAACAGTCTCCTAAAATGGATGGTTGTCTTTGATTGTTTCACTGTATATCTCTGACATTAATCCAAAATAAGTAAATATAAACTTCATTATTAAATCTGATCATTAAACTTTTTCAATTAAAAAAGTTTTTAAAACATCAATGATATAAAAATTTAAATATCAAACAAATAAAATATATTGAAAAATGTAATTACTTACCAAATAATTCAATAATATTAAAAATAATTATTGATGCAGCAATTATTGCTGACTGACCAACTTCTAAACCATTAATTCCTGCAAAAATATTGATTGCATTTGTGCAAAATACAGCAAGCATTCCCATGTATACATAATATAATGGACCTAAATTGAAATAAGAATTTATTATAATTTTGTTTTAAAAATTAATAAAAATATGTTGCTCTTTTTATAAAATAGTAATAGTAATTTAACATACAACAAACTCCCCACCAACTTGGACTTTGCATAACTTGGATAAAATTTTTCAAAAAATTTTATAGTAATTTCAAATTACTTGACAATAGAAAAATTGTAATTAATGAGAAATTACAATTATAACAAAATCATAATTAACAAGTGTTTTTGATATTCAGAAGTCTTTGTGATACTATGCATTACAAGGGCAGGCTGAAAAGTAATGCACACATGCTTGTAGAGCACAAACGAAATGATTTTCAGAAGCGTGCAGGTGGCATATGGAAGTAACATTCCCTCTCTATGTGCATGCACAGTTTGAGGTTGTTTCATTCATTCAATATATTTTGAGAAGCGGAAATATGGAGACATGTTCCGGTGCTATGTCAACGTGAGTTAAACAGCATGCTGTTATCAAATTTTTAACTGCTGAAAAAATTACATTTAAAGGCTGTTTATGGTGATGATGCTGTTGATAGGTCTATTGTAAATTGATGGATAATAAAATTTCATGGTTGCGAGCCTGGAAAAGTCATAATTGTTGATGAAACATGCAGCGGAAGTCTGATCACTGCCACAGACAATTACCATTGCACCTTGTTGCAATGTTTAATTCTTCTCAGTACATACAGACTCTAAAACACCTCTGACGTTGAGTTTGTCATGTTAGAGGCAGCCTGGCACCAATAATCTTGCAACATGACAACGCTTGTCCACACACCTCGCGCGCAACTGGAGAGGCTCTGCGAAACCTGAAGTTTGAACCGATTCCACACCCTCCTTATTCCCCCGATCTTGCGCCTTGTGATTTTTATTTGTTTCCTCTACTTAAGAGAGACCTCAAGGGTAATCATTACACCTCAGACGATGAGGTGAAGGCAGCTGTCAAGTCCTGATGGAATGAAAAAACTTGTTACACGTTGGGAGAAATGTGTTAGTCATCATTAAGGCTATGTTGAAAAATAAATATGATTTTGAAGCTTAAGAATTGTACTTTAATGTACTTTTTGCCCGATCTTGCTATTTGTTCTTGTTCATGTTCTACAAGCATGTGTGCATTACTTTTCAGCCTGCCCTCATATATTACTGTAGTTGGTAAGTTACTGTACATTGCTGTATACTCTATTGCTGAGAAAGTTTTTGAGCTCATTTCCTGTAATAAATTTAGTAGTATAACCTACTACAATTCAGTAAAATTACTGTACAAAGATGATTGTAATAAATTACTCTACTGTATATATACCTTCCAAGTTATCAAACATCCTGCTAATTCAGACAACCTTAACCATCTATTAGTCTGAGTTAGTGAGGGTTTTCTATACAAATATAAAATTCTTAAACCAGAAGTAAATTCAAAACTAAATTTTATATTTTTGCTATAAAGATTACAATAATTAAATGAAATACAATGCAATGATATCAGCTAGTTAATTTACTTAAGATTTAAAACAATTTACAATGAAATGATTAATCTTCATGTGTAGAACACAAAACTTTGAAACTCAAACATTAGAATATTGTTTTAAAAAAAATGATAAAAAGAAAATTCAATCTAACAATCAAAGCAACAAGTAATTCTTCATAAAAGGTTATATACAGAATTTATTATACTGTTTCTAATATGAATTTTGGAAAATATTCTGATTTGAACTAAAAGACAACCTGCACTATAAATGATGATTTAAAAGTTCCCAAGTTAGTCAATTATAAAAATTAATAAATTTGAGAACATTTGTTCAATTTATTTTTTTCACTATTGATGAGAAAAACTTTTCTATACATTTAATAGCTTCAGAAAAAAATTAAGTTATGAGTAGCCACTTGCAGATTATAGTACAAGTGATCAATTAGTCAATCACAAGGATTTACATAAAAAACAAATAAATTTTAGAACATTTTTTAAAACATATTTACTTCTATAGCCAACATTAAAAGAATATTACAAATTGCTGTTTTAGGCTTCATGTATGAAATTCTAAAGCAACACAATACACATTTTCTTTTTTCAGTATTATTTTAGAACAAAGTCAGAAGGAAGATAAACTCATGATATATGATTTATCCATAATATAATATAATACTATTATAACCAGAGTAGCATGTATTTTAATATTTGTATATGTCCATATGCCAGAAATTTTTATGAAAGAAAACTGATTGGATTAGACATCTTTTATGCCAAATAATTTCTTCAATAAAAATGATGATAAAAGAGTATGCATTAAATAAAAGCATCAGCCATTTCAAACTGAGTAAAATTTACATTTATTGCAAAATCAGCTAATTATTATTTATTTTAATTTTCTTTTCATATTTCAAAAGAATTTTATGTCTATTTCTGAGAAATTAGAATATTCATTAAAAATATATTTTTTTAATACTTAAATGAACTAGCCAGCATTTTGCTGCTTTCTTCTTTATAATTTTATTTAGTTACGGTAAACATTTATTAAAAAAAAAAAAAAAAAAGGATTCAAAAATATAAATAAAACATATTTTCAAAACTTTGCATATTAATAACTATTAAATAAAACCTGATTATGAACATTTGAAATAATACTTGTAAATATTATACATTTGAATAATGAAATAATGGTAATAATGATATGTGATATGAACTTGTTTGTTCAATCAAATACAAGATGATAATCAAGATATCAAATTTCATTTATGCTAGATTTTTATAAATTTATGATCATAACTTATGTATATACACACACACACATATACATATTTATATATATATACAAATATAAATATAATTATTTAAAACAAAAATATTTACCTAACCATAAATCTGTTCCAAATAACCAATGCAAAGGTTTAGGAAGTAGTACAGTTGTATTATTAAAAGTAACATAATAAACCATTAATAATGGTAAAGATGCCATTGTTGGTAATAAAAGTTTATGACGCCATTTCAAATCCAAGACATCATCTGCAAATCCCAAGAAGAGCATGCAACAAACTGAAAGTAAAGCAGCAACCAATTTGACAAACTGAAAACAATAAGTATAAAGTATTAGAACTTTTGAATTATTAATTTTTTACTTATATAATATAGTAGAAGTTTGCTAATTCAGAACCTATGGGATTAGAGTGATGCTGGATTATTGAAAATGTCAGATTACTGAACGTTTTTTTTATTTTTGTAAAATTTGATAAGTTATGTGATTTGAACATTGCTAGATATTTCTGTATATTTTGTAGCAATGCACAGTGCTGTGTTGCTGTAGATTTGTTTACACATACCCACCTTAATCAATGATGACAATTTAGGGCATGACTATATAGTGTTAAGAATGACTGAAAAATCTGTAAAAATATTAATACTCTATTGCACAATATCAACATTCATAATGATTTGTGTGAATATAATATTTATTTTCTAAACATGTACTATATTTTTGTCCAGGATCTTTATCATATCATGTTCTAAATTTTTATTGTGGATTACTAGCATGCTAGAATGCTATTGGACAATTCCAGATGCTTTTTTTAAAGGATACCATATTACCAGACATTGTAGATTATTGGGTGCTTGATTAACAAACTTCTACTGTAAATAAAAAGTATTGTTTTATTTTAAAAATTAATTTTTCTCTAAAAATTTTTTTCAGATATTTATAGCTCACATTCCTGTGTAATATTTTTCTGATTAAAATATAATAAATTATATCTTAAGAAAAATGAGTAAAAAGAAAATAAGAAAATTCTTAATTATATCTTATAAAAATTTTTTGTTATTAAAATATATAATTTGATTTTAAATGTTTGCATATTATAAAGCAAATTAGAAAAATTTAAAACTAGTTATAATTTAACTTTCTGCTTCTATTCTGTTATTCAAATATCAATTTGTAATGAGTTCAATTTGTGTTACAGTAATAGAAAATCCAATGCAACCATTCACCTTCCTTTTTGACATCAAACTTCCTATTATTTCTACTTTACTCAATTCTCTTCTATTTCTTGTTACTGATTTACTAAACTCTTACATATCATAAAAAGTCTATTTTCTGTATATTATTATTTCAAACCTATAAACATGTACATATTCAGTACTCATATTTGATTACTGACATTCTTCTCAGTGCTTTTTCATTGCATGTTTCATGGTAAAACTTAATTTGCTTAAATATTCATAATTAGTTCATACTTCAGACAAAACCTTAGGTTAGGTTAGGTTGCATTGGATTACTGTAACACAACTGCCAGCTATTTTATACATATATAAGCATATACAAAGAGAAAGAGTAATAAAATTATGAAAATACCTAAAATATTTTAACTAAAACGAATATTACTGTTTTTCAAAAAAATAATAATTAATAATAAAAACAATAGATAATAAGTATAAAATTATGAAAAAATTGCAATACTTTTCAAGATGTTCCTTTATTATTGTCTTACTGAAAAATTAACAACATATAAAAATAAAAATATGGTTTAAAAGTGAATTATAATATTTCTGAGTTATTTCATAACAATTTAATATGCAATGTTATATAGTAAAACAAATTATATGAGTAACTAAGTTGATAAATTTTATACATTTTGTAAACACGTTGCATTTATTTTTACTTATTTAAATAAATAAAATGAATGCAAAGCATTTACAAAATGATTTCAGATAATATTTATTATGGCATACTGTAAGCATTTTCATGATTTTAATGTCTATATTTTAATGAAAATAACACATCATACTAATTAGGTCATCTAAAACATATTCTATGTTGAAGATAAATATATTTGATACTTTGGAAAATTAGTTTAAGGAAATTTTATCATAAAATAAGTATTTCAATTTCCAATAAAGTACAATGTTTATTTTTTGTTGAAAAGGTTTTCAATATTAATACCAGTGATTATCATAATTATTCTGTAAAGACTACTTCAAACTGAAATCAATTTAAATAGTACAAATTATGATTAGAAGTTTTGTTAACTTTGAATTATTTAAATCTTACTTCATCATGAGGAAATGGATCATGTGTATTTGTAGTCCAGGAGTGAATAAAAGGTATAGGTATAAAAAGGAACATCACCATAAGAAAAACAGAACCTGAAATGACACCTGCTGCTTCTGGACTGTAAAAGAAAAATTAAAACATTAATGTAACAGAGTAATTACATAATTTTATTATTAAATAAAAATTTGCATTTAAATAAAATTAATGTACCGTAATGTTATTAATAATTTCATTTAAATGTGAATCTTTATTTTTAAAAAATGTCAAAGTTCATATTTATATCAAACAAAAACTAAAATTCCTTACTTTCTATTGTAAATTTAAGATTTAAACTATTATAATATTAATAATTTTACATTTTAAAAATTCACGTGTCATTATTATTGTCAATTTAAATAAAATTCAAACTAAAGTATCAAAAATTTAAAATAGTGAAAGTTTGCAATCTTTCAATTTGCAATAGAAAAATTCTATGGAATAAGGTAGGTGGCTAAGAGCATTTAGATATGTTTCTCAATTTTATTATGTTATTATGCATATTGAATTTTAAGATGTTGATATTCTCCTTGTTATAATAGGCACTTTACTGAAATATATTTAACATTCACACTTAACTCACTTCACAACAAACCTCATTAAAAAAATTGTTTTTTTGCAAAGATTCTCGAAAACATCAAAATTTAACTTAGGTGCTCTTTTTTCATAGAATTCCTCCAATCATTATTTTGTTTAAAAAATTTACCACTTATCATATGTTAATATTGAACTTAATCACTATGCAGGGAATTCTCCCTGGTTTTTAGAACAAATCTTATAATATACAGCTTTGCATAAAATTATCAAATTCAGATATCATAATCAAGTTCTAAAATTTAAATATTAGGATTACTAAATAGTTTTTCTATTGCTGATAATCAGTTTATCTTTTGTGATCATTCTATTTATCTTGATCTTTACTTTATGTATAAAGTTGTATATCTGAAAATCTTTATAACATATATATGTTACTGTGAAAGACTGAAATTAGAGAATGTCAACACATACAAAATATGTCAGTGAAAAACTGAATATTTGGTTATATTATTATACATTCGAAGAATTGCCAATATATGTCGACAAGCACAGATAAGCTTTGGTGGAGGTCGAAACGACACCCGAGAAGCCGATGTTGACAGTCTATCACCAGACACTTTGTGGATAGCAGGAGGTAGGACACAGTTATACCTCTTTTTCGGCAACAGTTTGGTGGAAACTGCCCACTTTGTCACTGGATGGAGTTTTTGTTCGTTTGATCCCGTGAGGTGGGGAACAGTTTGTCAGGACGGGTGGCAGAGGATGAGAGGGGTCGTCGGTAAGGCATCAGCAATATCCGAATAAAAGACACCATTAACAGATCAGTTCATAATCACGTAATAATGTAATCAGTTTGTAATTTGTAAAGAAAAGTTACTTTCTATAGATGAGATTTCTTCTCAAGAAATATCGCTGAGAGAAGCAGCTGCAGCTCATTTGAAAAGTGGAGAGCAAGGTTATACACGCCATCATTGCAAAAAGAAGTGTTCCACAAATAAATGCAGTTGTAAAAGCAAGGAACTCTTGTGCAATTCAAAGTGCCACAAGAGTTTAAGTTGTTGCAATAAATAAGATTGTATAACATTAATCATATAATTTATGTGTAAGTTTATTACTGTATTACAGTAGAGCGTCGATTTTCCGAAAGTCAATCATCAGAAAGAATTCCAGTCGGCAAATTTAAATTTTCGCCAGTGCTGTGGCGCTTCAATCTTTGGCTGTGTCTTGGGCTACTCAAATATTTTACGTTTTTGATACTAAATTAACATCTGAAGTATAATTTTTTATTGTTTTTATATTTTTCAATATATTTATTTTGTTTGTACAAAATAAAAAAAATAATTTTTAACGATACAATAGTCTTTGTTAGGCTTAACATCAATGAAAATTCAACACGAAGCGACATGCAACGGAGAAAAATTTCAACATCGGATAGGTTAAACTATTTTTTCATACATAAATCGGTTATCCGAAATATCAGTTATACGAACAACCCCAGACCCCAATTGATTCGGAAAATTGACGCTCTATTGTATTTTCTTTTCTGATTTAGAATGTACTGTTCATTTTAGGTTCAAAAGTTTATTTACACTGAAGAGCAATTGAATTAGGGATAGCTGGCATTATGCAAATTTTGAGTTGTATGTAAGCATGAAAGTGATTTGCAGATGAGGTAAGCAGCAGTTTAACAAGATAAGGAGTACTGCTAATGGTATCAGTAATAGTCAGAAGCAATAGTTTGTAATGAAAAAATGGTATTCAAATGATACAATTTCTTGAGAAGTCACTTCCCATATGTAAGTGAAAATTCATTCAAGTATACAAACTTATTTAATTTTGGATTATTATTAATGCTGTTCATTTCTTTATGATTTATTTAATGCTCTGAACATAACATTTCTGAAGATTCCAAATGAGTATTAGGTAAACGTCACTTTTAATCATAAACAATGAATCAAACTTAATTTTTTTCACATTAATTAACTCTGTTTATGAAAAAAGTCATCTAAAGCTATTGAACCTTACAATGAAAAAAAGATCATTGTAAACATTTTACACAACAAATAATTGAAATTTACCAATAAAAATACTTTCTGCCGTTTATTTTGGAAAACTAATTCCATTTTTAGTACTTTGTACAGAAAGTAATTTTTTCATGAGAGCAGCCATATTGAATTAGCGCATAGCTCGACAACAAACTAGCTAGCACTCCGAGCTTACCAATTTCGCTAAACATGACGTCACATAGCTCTAAAGTAAACACCAATGAGCATGGCACTCGGATGAAAGTATACAGGCTAAGCGTGCTGATACTAAAATTAGCTCAGAAGTAAACGCACCCCAAGGCACATGTTTACACGAGAAGCATGTAGAATAGGCCCTTTGGAGATGAATATCTTGCAAAGGGTTAACAATTCTGGGGGTGGTGTGAAACCCCTCATTCACAGCTTGAATCTTACCTGGAATTCCATTAACTGAAAACTACCAAATCTATTTTGAATTCCCTAATTTTCCAATTTACATTGATCTAAAACTTCATTGTCTAAATTTTGTATCTCTTGCTTATGCAGATGACATAAAAAAATTATTGATAATGACCCTTTGATTTTTTCAGTGAAAACGTTTTTATAGGAGTTAATAAAATTGAAAAATAAATAGAAAACATGAAAAAACAAGCCATACTTCAAGTACTTTTGAGTATAATCAAGAAGATAGCTACTAAAACTGAATATGACCGTATTAAAAAATTTATCTCTACATGATCATATTCAATTAGAGAAGTGCAAAGAATATGATTGCAAGTTAATTTTAAATTTTCATATGGGAAAATAATTAAATTCTACCTAGTTGTCAAGGAATGAAGTAGAAAAATTACAGATCCATTTTATGTTAATCTATACTATCAGTACTATTCTTAACATACTTTCAATCTCTGGTGACTATTGTTTATCTGTTTTGGTCTGTTATTTCTGTTTGATCTTTGTCAAAAGTTAAAAATAAATGTTATAAAGTTTATTTTGTTTTATAAATTCTGTAATTTGCTTTTTACAGATTTTTATTAATTAATTCAATTTCAATTGTATGTAATTACTGAAAAATCAAATCTATTTTGACCAACTATTATTTTATCAACAATTATCATAAATAATAATAACCATTCATTTATTATTTATTTTAATGATGTATTTAATAATAACTAGTCTATTGAAGATGTCTACTGTTGAAGAGATTAGATCAGTTAAAATACTTTCCTGGATGAAAGCTACAAGTGAACTTTCTAGGGTTCCTGCAGGCTACATATATTTTTTTTCTTATAAATTTGAGGCTTTAAGCCTGCTGAGTAACTTTACACTCTATATTCTTAGGTAAATAATAAATATATGCTAACGATATGCAAACTATCAATATGTAGCTTATTCTCATATGTCACAATTATCATCTAATTAACATTGCATAATGGCATGAGGAAGAAAACAAAAAAAAAATAAAATAACATTGCCAAAGCCTCAGGGGCCACATAGAATCTCACAGGCTGTTCATCACTGCCCACCAGTGGCCAAGTGGATAAAATCACCGAACCAAGTGGAAATCACTGGTAGATGGCCAAGTCTTGAAAATGGACTGGCCATATAGTTTCCAAATTTTCTTCTCATTTGTAACACTTAAACATGGGTCAATTTGTCATAGAAAGTTCTCCTAGGAGGCATCCCTCCTCAGCAGATTGCCCACAAGTTGCATTGTCATGTACAAATGAAAACCATACATCACCAGAATAGGTATTATCCAGTAATTATGATTAAATCAAATTAAACACTGAACATTACCCAATTATTTTATATTAGTAGATACACTGAACATTACCCAATTATTTTATCATCTTTGATCTTAATCCAATATAATTTTGTAAATTTATTTCAGCATTTTTCAACCATGTCTTTGCATGCAATAACTATCTTCTATACCATGTAAATTTCTAGTCAGCCTATATATACACAACTGAAATTTGGAAACAGATTAATTATTCTGTTAATGTTTCTTTCTTGTATCTTGTTTGTTACATAATGATTTTTATAAAATCAATAAATATAATCTATATGTATAAGAATACATATACATGACAGTTACAGAAATGAAAAACAGTCAGCTTACAGTCCTTTCATTTTGATATTCAATAATTACTATTAAATTAATAATTATCGAATATTACATTATCAAATGTGAGTAAAACAACATTAAATACTTTAATGTAATTGTATGTTTTCATGGTAAGTATTGTGTGTAACACTCTTTTTGTATCTTAGCTTTGTAAAATCATTATTGAATTTGTTTTACGGTAACGCAACGAAATAAAACTAAAAACTTACATAAGTTCTTTAGATTTTTTACTCATATCCATTCCTGATAAGTGAGCCTTTATAAACATTTCTCTAAATTTCGGTATTATTCTGAAAGTAGCTATAAAACCTACTACAGACATTACAAAACTAGCTATAATTGTTAAAATCATGGTTTATATGTTTAATAATAAACAAAAAGCTATAGTTTTGTAATAAATAATTCCATTTGAAGCAAAAACATTTCACCGTGGCACTTAAACCACGCATACACCTGATCGGGAAGATCGACTAAACTTACGTCACGCTTTACATTAGAAGATGTTTTCTGGTTGGAGTAACGATGTCACGTGATAACAGTGATGGGAAAAAAATTTCATAAAAAATTTCATAAATTTTAACATGCTTATGTAAATTATAAAATATCATAATAAGTTATAATCTTCACAATTTTAAATGAATAATAAAATAAACGTTATCCTCTCTGTTAGTATTAAAAAGGTCTCTTTGTCAAATATACCGCGAATCCGGACGGGTCAAGGAATCCCCAGGAATTTTTCGGGGGGTGATCCGTTCGGATATGTCTGTCCCCGTCCTTCAACACCCGGTCACCTCATTGTGGGCCTGGCCGAACCCATAATGGGCCTGCTATAAGAGGCCCTCTTAGTGCCCACAGGGCGGAAACAGTATTAAAAAAAAACAAAAAAGTACACCGTGGCTGACAGCCACATGGCCGAGCTGTTAAGGTGGCAGCCTATCATTCTGGGGAATCCGAGATAGAATCTAGACAGATTTTAAAAAAAGGAATTTTTGGGGTCCATCCAGTTATGTCCGTCTCACCACCCGCTCGTCCCATTGTGGCGTTGGTCGAACCCATAATGGTCTTGCTAAAAAAGTCCAAGCACACCGTGGGTTCGGTCATTCCCACAATGAGCAGTAGGCTCGTCATTTCAAAGTAAGTAATTCGTCGAGTGGTCTTTAAATATTATTATTTTAAATTTTGTGTTATGAGAACATATTATATAACGAGAGTGTGATAAAATAATCACTTTATAATGTTTATGAAGTACAAAAAAATTCAGTTTTACCATTCGGATGTTTTTATTGTTATACGAACTGTTCTCCTTTCGCGCGAACAATTAGCTTTTCGAGGGTACTGTCCGCATGTCCGGCGTGTTCTGCATCGGTCCGCTTTTTTCACTGAACTTTCCAATTGCCAATATTTAAAAGTTTTGCTTCGTTTTATACTTTGTTTTAAAAATAAATTTTTCCAATTTTTTGTGGTAGTTGAAAGGTTTTCTTTCGTAAAATACAACAGCTATTTCGATGTATTGTACATTGGATAATTCGCTTCCAGATGTCTTTAAGAGCTTTAAAACTTGCAAATGCTTCATAAAATGATAGATTCTCGCTATTAACTTCTTTATATGGAAATCTATAATTTAAAAATTCTGCAATAAAATTTACTTTTTCTTACAATTTGTTTGCATAATTTGTATTAGAACGACATTGCTAATAAACATGTAGAAATCCATTAATGTTTTTCTTCTTAATTGTCAATCTTCTTCAATGAATTGTTGTCTATATTTTAAAAGAATTTTTAATCAAGGAAATAACGTTTATGAAAAAGTATTTAGGCGACCCAACGAGCTAGAATATACTACATGGAATGGCTGTGACCTTAGAAACAGCACTCTTGGTAGCAATCAAGGACAATATACTACAAGGATAGCCAGATCCCTATTCTACAATGTTAGCCAGGAATGGCAAGTTAGTGACGTCACACGTGTCCTGACCTCTTTGTTTACCTAGAGCAGGGTGTGCACGTGTTTAGTTTTCGCTTTTAATATTCGTCCAATTTTGTGATTAACGAAGTGATTTATTTTAATATTTCTGTAATTGTTTTATTTGACTAAGTTTTTTATAAGGTAAGATGATTTAAATATAAGTCATTAAATATTTAAAGCTATATTTTTATGTTAGGTGAAGAACAAAAT